TGTGAGGAGCCAACGAGACAAGGAAATTTTTGCATGAATTTTTACAAGAAAAAATTTGTCTACATCTCCACAACTCCACCCACGTTAAAGAATATTTATGAACTACCAGCTCTCACATCATATATTTCTCCAATCTTCTTATAGTAGGAATCATGGAAATTTGTCCATCCCTTAGGTGTACGAAAATAAATAAATACTCTTATATCTTTGTACTTCTTCTGTGCCTACGTAAGTTGTAATGCTGTTAAATAATTTTTAGTAAAAGTTAGACGTACTCCACTTAAAATGAATAAATACTTTTAATTTTTTTTTTGTTGAATATTTTGTCATAGGTCGGTTCGAACAGTTGACCTGGAATAGGAGAACATGAATCTTACAAGCGTGATTAGAGCCACTTGACCCGAAGGGTCAAGTTTGAATAAATACTTTTAATTGTTTTTTTATTACAATAAAAATTACATTAATATAATTAATATCTATCCTTAAAAAATAAAAAAGTACCAAATCTGATATTTCAATTGCGCATGTCTCCAGAAGTACCTCACTTTTTTTTTTTTGGTGGAAAGAAGTACCTCACTTTACTTCTCAACAAAAAGTGTGGTTGAGAAGCGTGGCCACTGACCACATGGTGGTGAGCATACTTTTAATTGTTTCTTAAATTTATTTTTTTTCATTATTCTCCTACCCCACATTTTCTTTTGTTGGAAAAAGATTTTACTCCCTCACTCTTTGGGAGAACTAAATTTTGTCAGTATCCACCCACCTTTCACAGGGACAAGGGAGCGCAATGAGGAAAATGTCCATACCAGAAGTTCCAGCTGACTTTCAGTTTCTGGGGAGGACGAAGTGTGGATTGAAAGACAGTTAAATACAGGAACAGATATTGCCACCCTAACACCACTAATGCCCTCGACTATCGCGCTGCTTGGTAGGGTTAAAAAAAAAGATAAAAATGGAGTGCCATATATCAATTATTATGTCTGATATAAAACAAGAATGAGTTGCAAAAAACCCAAAATTTCATTTCTTGCCTTTAACTATGTGAAATTATTAGCAAATCCCATCAATGAAGAAACTGGGGAAAAAGCACACACTCTTGGATTCAGCCTATTAGTGTTTTGATGAAATACTAACCCCAAAACTGAGACGTCTTTGTAGACCTGTATTAAGGTTTTGAACTCTGCAAAAACTTCCTTATCAGGCGCCATGGAGAAATGTAAATGATA